TCCCCCTGAGTCCCTGATCATGGATGTGGCGCCCGCGCTGAACCAAGCCCTTGAGCGAGTTTCAGGCTGCTGCAGCAGCCAGCTGCGCCTGGACATGGTTCGAAAAAGTTTGAGTGATAGCATAGAGGCGTCACACGATGCCGTGAGGCATGCCCATGATGCATGGGATCAGCTGGAGTCGTTGAACTCCAACATGGCGTCCATCTTTGAGCTGGTGGACCTGGCTGGTGCGGCGGATCTCAAAGTTGCCTTCAAAGAGGCCAAGGTACTCACCCGTGACAGAGTTGTCTGGCAAGCTATGGGTCGTTTCCGTGATGTGTTGGATATGATGCTCAGCACCGAGTACCTCTCTGACATTGTGAAGCGCAATCATACCCGCATGAGCCAGCTTCGCCACTCGTACGTCAAGATACACTCCGACATGCTGGTGCAGATACGACTCTTGGGGAGCATTTGTCCAACATTTGTGGCAGAACCCTGATGACAGTGATGTACAGCTTGTACTCTCTCAGATGAACCGGTTCAAGGAACATGGCCTGCATATGGACAGTGACTACCAGTCCTTGATGCAGTTGCCTGAAATCGTCTTGCAGGCCATGTCGAAGACAAAGACGATCATCTACCGCGCTGATGACCTGAATGATGGCAGGATCGGGCCATCCTGTGACATAGCCAGCTTGCATCACTCCCTGGAGAAGTTGGGCAAATTCCTTTCGAATCCAGACTTCCTGGACCTTGTCCAGCAGAAGTTCAAGATGAGCATGAAATCAAGCTTGAACGCAGTGCAGCGTGCAGTGGGAGCATGGGCTCTTCTGCAGCACGAGGCGTGGGTCAGCAGCATTTGGAAGAAAGATGATGCCAGCCGCAAATTCCGCAAGCTGGAGCACATTGTTCTACACGAGATCATTCTCACCGTCTGCGCCTACCTCGGGAATTGCGGCCTTGCTGACTTTCGGTTCCTCGAGCGTGTCTTGCGTCACGAGATTAGCTTCAAGGGCATGCCACACGTGGACATGGGGTACTTCATGTGCTCACTCAGGACAAGGCGTGCGAGCTTGGTGAAAGAGATCCGGCAGGAGCTTATCTGCTCGGAGCAGACATGGGCACGCACCATGCAGAAGATTGCCAAGGCCTTGATGCCAGACAACAACCACTGAGACTTTGATGTCGCCAGGGTCCACATGGAGGTGCTCGGACCCATGGACAGGGATGCTCGCTGAGCCAGCCATCGTGCGTCTGAGCTGTAGACATTGTTAACTTCACTCTCTTCCTTGTACTTGGTTCACCCGGGCTGCGTGCTCGTGTGTCAAAGAAAGTGCGCTCGAAAACATGTTGAAGCGAGCTGAGAGCTGGAATCCTTGCGAGCGGCTGGCGCAACTTGCCGCCCAAACTCTTCGGGAGATGCTTCGGACCCA